ATTCTTTAAGGGGCAGAGAGGAAGAAACTTAACAGGAATGACACTCTTTACTAAAAGTACACTTTATTAATAATTTCTGCTACTGAGTCTCAGTTGCTATCTCCTGTCTCTGCCTTCTCAGCTGACCAAGATGTCTCCAGTTTAATAGTTATATAATCATGTACTTTAAGAATTGATAGAGAATTGGGATGCCACTCATAAATTACATAGTATCTACTAATATATAATTGATATAGAAGATAGAGGAAAAGGATAACATATTGTCCTAGATAGGATATTCCCTGGGCACACAGCCCATTGCCTTGGAAGATAGTGGTGGGGAACAGAATAGGTCCTGCATAATCCTTGAGGAACTGATTTTGGGCCTGCTTCAAAAGCTGGACACTCACAAGTCCATGAGGCCAGATGTACTGCACCCTTGAGTGCTGAGGGAGTTGGCAGATGTGGTTGCCAAGCCACTCTCCATCATCCTTCGACAGTCCTGGCTAACTGGGGACATCCTGATGGACTGGAGACAGGCAAATGTGATGCCCATCTTCAAAAAGGGCCAGAAAGATTATCTTGGTAGCTATAGACCTATCAGTCTCACCTTGGTGCCAGGGAAGGAACCCTACAGGCTTGGGGAGGAGTGACTGGAAAGCTGCCTGATGGAAAGGGACCTTGGTGTATTGATGGACAGTTGGCTGAATATGAGCCAGCAGAGTGCCCAGGTGGCCAAGAAGGCCAATGGCTTGTATCAGGAATGGTGTGCTGAACAGGACTAGGGAAGTCATCCTGCCCCTGTGCTCAGCACTGGTGAGGCCTCACTTTGAATACTGTGTTCAGTTTTGAGCACCTCAGTACAGAAAGGACATGGAGGTGCTGGAGCAGGTCCAAAGAAGGGCAACAAGGCTTGTGAAGGGCTTGGAGAATACACTCTATGAGGAGAGACTGAAGGAGCTGGGGATGTTTAGTCTGGGTAAAAGGAGGCTGAGGGCAGACCTTATTGCTCTCTTCCAATATCTGAAAGGTGCTTACAGCGAGAGCGGGTCTTCTCACTGGTGACAGGCGACAGGCGAGGAGAAATGGCCTTAAGTTGCATTAGGGTAAGTTTAGGTTGGATATCAGGAAAAACATCTTTACAGAAAGGGCTGTTAAGCACTGGAATAAGCTCCCCATGGAGGTGGTTGAGTCACCATCCCTGGATGTGTTCAAAAACCATTTGGATGTGGTGCTCAGGGACATGATTTAGTGGAGGCTTGTTAGTTAGGGTAGTATGGTTAGGTTGTGGTTGGACTTTATGATATTTAAGGTCTTTTCCAACCTGAGTGATTATATGATACAGCTATGCTCAGTGTATAGGAACTGCTGAATCACGGCCTGAACCTCTGATTGATTACCTGAGGTGAGCAATGAGTCAGCCATGGGGAGCACAGGTGAAGACAATTCACCTGTGCTGCCAGAAGGGGTGGAGCCTTGGTCCACCTTTCCTAGACCCATTTAAGAGCTGACTACCAGTGGGGAAGGATCTCTTCTGGAGATCCCCTCCTCTGGAGTTTCATAGCGAGCCCAGGGTAAGAGTAAGCATTCTATCTATTCTGCTATCTATTCCGTTTTCATGTAATAACTGCATAGCCAAACTCTCTAGTATATTCTCATAACTATAACATCTGTACATTAATTGATTGTACACTTGTGTGTGTGTGTGTATATATATATATGAATGCAGATAACAAGTGGTGCCCAAGCAATTGTTCAGCATCGCCCAGTAGATGCTGAGCTAGCTCCCTGACCAGCAGAAGAGAGAGATCAATTCCCATCCCCTTCAAAACTCCTTCCATTTGATGTCATATGGTAGGGAATATCCTTTTGGCTAGTTTAAGTCAACTGTACTACTTCTGTTCCCTCGCAGCTTCTTGGGCCCTTTGCTGCATGTGGCCTTGGCTCTGTACAGCACTGCTTAGTAGCAACTGTAAACATCGGTGTGTTATCAACATTGTTCTTCCCCTAAAGACAGAAACATATCATCCAACCAGTCACTCTAAAGGTAACAATTCCATCCCAGCTGAAACTGAGGCATCCATGCATAAAGATGCATAATTGAGAGCAAAAATTTTAGTATTTTTTAATCCTGATTTCTTGTTCCAAAACAGAAAGTTTGTCATGCTTGGGATAGAATTGGCTGCATCTCAGCAAATTAGAAACATTTTCTATGTCTGTTTCTACTGTCAGTCATCCTCCTGTCTGTTCCGAGGTATGCCATGTCATAAACATTATCAGAATGTGTGGACACTGGGAGCTGAAGGTGGCAGGATTGAAAATCTTTCATCTAGAAAAACAATGAAGAAATTGTTAGCGTTTCACAAGGGAAGTTTTGTTTATTTCCTCTTAAAAAAAAAAAAAAAAAAACACGTTAGTAAGCATGTAGTTGACATGATTTCATATAGGAAATGTATGTGTGCTGTGGGGTGTTTCGTCAAATTTTGAAGGCCAGTTTCTAATATTAAAGTATGAAACAGCAAAGTTGTAGTCCTGCTTGAAGTGCGAATCTCAGTGCCCTCATAACTGTGGTGTCACTACTGAAACACCCATTACACTTATATAATGTACATTTCAGATGTGTATCTGGCACTGCATTCCCCTCAGTCTTCCTTGCATAAAATTTGATCTAAGAAGTAGAAAATGATTCAAACTGCATCTGTGGATGCACACTCTTTTACTATCAGCTAATGTTAGATTTGTCTTCAGTACAAGCTAATGGATCAAGGAATTCACAACCAACTTTGGCTTTGGAGTCTTTAGAGTTGCCCTTCAGTTGTTTTCACTGCAACACAGGCAAATGCATGTTCAAGTGCATGAGGTCTGGAAATGCCTCAGCTTAGCTTTGTAGAACTGCTTGGGAGGAACCTTGTAACTTCAAGAGAATGTCTGAAACTTAAATCTTTTACTGAAGAAGTAATTGCTTCTTAGTGAAATGTTTTCCATGATGTGTATAAAGTAGCAAAACTTTTAAGTATTCAGAATGGCATAAAAGAGTTGGTCTCAAGGTCAGACAAAACCTCTGAAAGATAGTTTAGTGTAGACAGGAATCTGCTCAACTGTTCTGCACCCTTTTCTCCTCATTTTCCCCAGGATATTTTGGTAAATGTGAGGGCTCTGTTCTTCATTTTTATATATATTCCTGATGAAGAGTTTGGACTGACACTGACTGAAGAAAACCATCATGCTCAGGGCCATCGAAATGTCAATACCCAGGACAAAACTAGGAGTTTATAATCGTGTGCTGATACTCAGCTGTGATGAGCTGCAGCCATATACTAAATGAAAGGCTCTCATTTAAACAGCACTCATCACTGCAATTAATAGTCCATCAGAACAGCATAATATGAGCATAAGAATAAAATAAATAGCAAAAGATGTGGGCATTCTGACTGGCCAGAAATGAACAACTGCTGCTCAGCAGGAATTTGCTTACGGTGCAATTACTGAGAAATAGTCCAGCATTAAGTGTGCAAATCAAATTTTCCCAGCAGATCAGAGTATGAAGGGAATGAATGTAAGCAAAAAATAGGGGTCAGCTTGATGTGCTTTTCAGCAATCAGGTTAAGACAAGTCTTTCAGTATAATTATATATATGTGCTTTGGCTAGAAGAATTTAATTAATTGAATATAGATTGCAAGAGAAAATAAGTGTGCTGTTCAACTGGAGCAATCTGATGGAAAGTGATAGCATGATACCATTAGGAAACTCAACAAGCTAATCTACATCCATGTGTTGAGATAAGCAGAAGTCTGAACATCTGTTTCCCACTACTGAATTCACAAAAGGGGCTTCCCTGCATAGGGAATAAATGAATAAACAACATTTGGGGAATGTAATCTCTGACACTGAACACAATGCTGAAATGTCATGAAAATGAAATAAGGTGAGAATGAAATAACGACTGAACTAAAGGTGTTCTAGGAGTTAGCTGGGATTCAGCTTGGCAAAGGAAGCCCAACCATATGAGAGCAAGTAAAACCTCTATCCATCACTCTTATAAAATGTAACATAAGAAAGATTAATTCAGGAGTAGCACGTAGAATTTATGCAAAGTAGGCTGCAAGGTGGCATGAACTGGTTGTGGAGACACATGGAATGAAGCACATCCCAAGATGTGAAGTTGAAATGATATTCCTATAGTCAGAGGAAAAAAAAGAAGGATTGATAAGTAATGATCAGACAGATGCCCTTAAGTGCCCAGAAGTCCCAGCAACAACTATTTGAATTAAAGAAAATGAATTAAAGCTTAGATATGATTTTTCCTTTCTCTTCTCCAGTCTTGGAAAGCGAGCAGCAATAATGAAAGAGAAATGGACCTAAGCACTAACTTGCTGCCAAGAACTGTAACACAATATCGCAGCATTTCAAGGGTAAATCAGTGTCAACTGCATTTGCCTCCTGGAAAAAAAAAAAAAAAAAAAAAGTAAGCGCTTAACTTCCGTTCAGTCTCTGCGGACCGCTGAAATATAGGAAACGGGGTTGCGTGGGGGAAGAGGCTGAAAAAAATAAATAAAAGTCTTTTCCAAAGAGAGCAACGAGCGGAGCGGCCAGAAGTACGAGGAGCGGCTGCTGCTGGGCTGCTTGGGTCGGGGGCGCAGCGGCTGCTGCCGGCAGGATTAGCGGCGGGGGGGGGGGGGGCTGCTGTGCGGGC